CTGCTATTCTATAACAAAGCCTTTATCCCAAAAATATAGGGTCAATTACATGAATCATATTCTTTCATTCTGTTTTATTATGGCTCATCTCCTCTATTAAGTTAATCATAATCATATCCTTTTTAATTATTTACAACCAATTTTTTTAGGTCTATCTCTATATATCTTTACTCCATTAAGTATAATATTAGCAATTTAGCATTTTTATTAACTGGTGCACTAAGAGATCTCTGTTGTACATGACAAAGTCATCTTAATTGATTCTCTCTCATTTTATCCTCAATAAGAGAAAACTCTAATATAGACTCATTTCTTAGCTTATCTTTTAGTGTATATCCACAAGATCATCTCAACATTCTCACTTCTGCTACACTCGCTTTTTTGCATAAGTTTTTTAATCACCTGATATTTTGATCCATAAAACATTGTTGGTCTTAAAATCATCTTATAGACTCTTTGTTTGTCACATAGTTATTCTACGATCACACAAGACTCCCGAAGCACTTCATTTTAACCATCCCGATTTGATTCGATCGACAATAGCATCCTCAACTCACTATCATCCGAATAATTGACGCTAAATAACGAAAATGATTACTTTTAGATATTTCTTGACCACCAATATATACTTTAGGCTCTTTTTTTTAGTTTTACTAAAAATGCATGTCATGTATTCTGTTTTTTCTACTAATTTTAAAACATTTAGTTTCAAGAGTTTGTCTCCACCTTTCTACTTTAGAAATCATACATTTTTTAAATCTCGTCAATTAATACCATATTATCAGCAAATAATATACATAGTAGCACTTCATCTAAATATATCTAGTAAGTTGGTCGATAACTAAAGTAAAAAGATAAGGGCTTAAGTTTAATCCTTGATGTAAACCTATAGTAATGGGAAACGATTTAGTCTCCCCTTCATTAGTTCTAACATTAGTTATTACTCTACAATACATTCTACTCACATCAATATACATGTATATGTACATATATGCATATACACACACACTAGATACATTTTCTTTTCTAAAACTCACAATAGTACCTCTCTAGGCACTCTAAAACTTTTTCTACGCCAGTGAAAATTATATGTAAATATTTTCTCTTCTTTCTATATCTCTCCATCAAAAATTTCAAAAAATGTATAGGTTCCATACTCTATAATTTTATAGTATTTAAAAAATCCAAGGCATTATTTTTAAAAAGCTAATTGATATTTTTAATGTTTTAATATATTTAAATTCAAAAATATATGTAGCTATTAGTTAAATTATTTTATTATTAGTTGTTATTTTTTACATTTTATTGCAACTATTAAAAATTAAATTTAATGCTTGCCTATAGTGTAGGCCGCTTTAGTCATTAATATATATATATACACTGTTTTAAAAAACCTCCGCCTAGTCCGCTTAGGCGTACGCCTAGGCCTAGGCGGTACCTAGGCTGCCTAACTAGCGCCTAGCGCCTAGGCGGTATTTAGGATGTCCACCTAGATTTTACGAGCGTTTAGAGGAGCATTGTCTGCTTACGTGGATTGCACCCTGTAGACCTTGATTGTGATTTTATATGTCGTAGCCTACACGTCCTCCAAACTCCATTAACCTCCAAATATGAACACCTCCACTACCTCCTCCGATTAAGTGGACATCCACTAAACTTTTTAACCCTTAGATGTTTCCTAGGGATCCTTGCATGATATGAAGTGACTTTTTATATGTTAAATGAGTGGATATAAAGTTTGGTGGACACACTATTCACTATCCACTTAAGTTGACACAAGTTCTACTCTATATATATATATATATATTAAATTTCTATTATGAACAAATTCTTGCTACAACAAATCATTGTCAACATAGGGCAAGGATGGTCACCAAGTTAGTTCTATTAATTCCTCAACATAAATCTAACAAAACAAAATAACAGGACAAGTCAGGCCTTGCGTGCTCTAAAAGTTATTGAATTCTAATATAAATTTGAAATTTCGAAAATTAAAAAAAAGGAGCTGCTAGATATTTAGTCATTGGCATGAGATTCTTATAGGACATTGGAGTCTTATAAGATTTCAGGTTTAGGCCCCTAACTGACACAATATATGGGTTGTGTCAGAAACCAAACCTGTTTAACTTGATAACTCTAAACAAAACCCTTCTTGGTACATCCGACCAGATCCAAGTTGGTAGCTTGGCTTTGAATGATGATGATAATATCTTGATGAAGGAACAAGTGTTGTTTTATCAGTTACCGGACATGATCTTCGTTTTATTTTTTTAAGGCTTTATCCTTTAGCATAAATAAATAAACACGCTTTATTCCTAAGGTCATTAGAAAATAGGGTCATATATCCATCCATACAAAGGTATAGTGACCCTCACTTTACTATAGATAAAAAAGAAAGGGAACAAAAAAGAAAAAAAATAATATAAAAGAAAATAAAAAATGATATGTTTTAAGGTTTAACCTGGTCAAAACATGGTCATATCAACTATTGATCATTAGAAAGGTTAAATTTCAAGGCTAAATTTAATTGAAGTACCATGATCATTTATTGTTTTTTATTAAACTATCATGAACTTCTTTAGATAGTAGTAAAATACCATGTCACAATTAAACTCTCTGATGACATTAACACGAATATACACGCCCATAATCTAAAAAAAAAAGTTTCATCGACTCAAAAACTTCAGATCCTCTTACATTATGGACATCTCCACCAGATTCCATCACATACACATCATGTACAAGGGTAACGATTACTGAAAAAATGTTTAAGCATAATGTAGTATGATGTTAAAAAAATCCATGATAGGTTAGTCTCATAAAGAGGAAGCTCATGTTAGTCGAAGAAAAATGACGAAAAATCCAGTTCATTCAAGAAATTTTAGAAATTGAAAGAAAATAGGAAAAATATTACCTATATCACTCTCCCATTCTTCAAACTAAACTGCAGAACATTTCATGTTTCTTAACCAAGAATTCCCAAATATCTCTATAAGCTTATTAAGGATGCATAAGATGAAGGTATAACACACTTTCAATCCATATAGATCTCTAGGCCTAACCTTACGATGCTCCAAACTATACCTTTTTCTGATCCTTCAACCCTTAGGATTGAACCTATTAATTGCCTTGAATGTGAAGGGGAAAAAATCAAATCTGAACTTCTCTTCTTACCACATTTAGCATGTATAAAATTAAATTGGGTTACTATTACGCCAGATTTAGCCAACTATTACACCTAGCAAATGATAATTAGCTAATCAAGTGAAAAATGAGAGGTTCTACGAGGATTTCATTCACTATAAAAGGGATGGTTAGGAATGATGAAGAGGGGTGTGAGGAAACAAGAGCAAAACAAAGACGGATTCTAATATGTTCTTCTCTTTACTTCATCATTGGGTATATTTTGTGGGCTTGGATGAGTGAGATTAAAGCGCGATCGCTGTTCTAATCTCCTCTTTGATTAGTGAATTTCTTTTTTCTTTTTTGTGATCGCCTTTAGACACAGATCAAACATATCGCCTGAATCATGTTAAATCTTTGTATTATTCTCTTCTATATACAGCTTTGTTCTTCTTGCTCTACTTTTTGTTGACATCTCCCCTATTACGAAGCCCACTGCTGCAACAGTACCCTTCTTCCTTCACTGATACTATAATAGGAATTCTGAATTCATATGAACAATTTAACTAGTTCAACAAGAACTCTAGAGCATAAACAGTCACACTTTCTACTGTCTCAAAACTGCGGATTTTAGATCTGATGGCATGCTGACTCAATACCTTTCACAAGTCAAAAAGAAACACCACAAAGCTTTTCAGATACAGCTTCCTATGGTTTACTCACTTGGTTATGGGTCATTTGACCTCCATTATCACGGCATCCACATCTTCTAAAAGTTCACTTCATAGGACCCTGAGAATGTGTTGTTATTCCTCATCAGCTGCCTAAAGAAACCCTAGCCCTTCATCAGGGTTGCAACGTTGATAAGAGTATTACACATAAGCACATCAAAGTATACTTTGCAAAACTTTCATCCAAATAACAAAGCTGGGCAAAACTTTCATCCAAATAACAAAGCTGGGCATTAGAAGACTAGACTTTAAAGGGAAATCAAGATATCTTTAGGAAAATTTTAAGTAAAACTACATTCACCCTCTCATTTAAAATCCTGTCAGAATGCAACAAAGTTCAAAATGTTAGCAAGTACACATAAACTATAAACCCTAGAATTCACAAACAGCAACACAGAACACGCACATATCAAAATTTTATCTACTACAAATGGAGAAAGAGTTGAGAGAGCGAGCACCTGCCACAAGAGAATCTCGCGGCGTTTTCCAAGTCAAGATTGTATCACTGGCATCAGTAATGAGATCGTTGCTGTCTGTCACTGAGCGTCCCTCTTTCTATTTCTCTTTGCGTGTACCCTCTAGGGCTCTAAATGGTTAGCAAAAGTGAAAAACCCAAAATCCAATTTGATTTTGAGGTATAATTAGATTCGCGACCCGAACCATAATCGATTGGATTGTATTTTTTTAAAGTATCGATCGGATTGTATTGGGGAAGTTAAAAAGATTCAAAACCAAAGTCAACTTTATATGCCTAGTTGGAGTAAGGCCGAGGCTGTGTTTGGCAATTTCATAAGTTTCAGTTTGGACTAGTATTTTAGGGTATGTTTGGGTACTATTGTGTTTTTCTTGTTCTGCTTTTCCAAAAAAACACCATGGTGTAGAGTTTTTCTCCAAACCATTTTGACAGTAGCGTTTCGAGTTTCGGTCAACAGACTCAACACTAGTTTCACCCTATGCACAATGCAGACACTATCAATACCCCGCCATGCTTCCACCCAAACCACCACCGCCACCACCTGCTGCCGCACCCCCGACAGCATATATCATGTTTTTCTACGCAATTTTCAATCTCATGCTGATGCTTCGGTTATATAAATTGTGTACTTTTTAATCATGAAAAATATAGAAGAGAAATTTCTCACATACGCATAGTATTCTAGCACAGGGTCTGTCCGAAGACCATATCTAGAGAGAGCAAGAGCATGATGCGTCCACGGCAGAGGAGATGCATGTTAGGGAAAAAAAAATTAAAAATAATAAAAAACTGAGAATAAACTGTGCAAAATGAAATTGGAAAAAATTAACAATTAGGGCAAAATGAAATTGGCACAAAATAGGCGGAAAAAAAATAAACTCCAACAACAAACACAAACAAATTAGGGAAATGTTTGACGAGAAAAACTCATGTGGAGGAGGTGAAGTGAAGAGAAAAACATGAGAGGGCTGAGTAAAAGAAAAAGCTTACCAGGGGCGGTGG